TTCAATGAATGAAGTCTTTTTTAAAATCGCATTTACAAAAAGTGATAAAATCAGTTATTTAAGCTGTGATGATTATAAGAATATAAGGACATCATTGAATGTGTTAAGCAGGCAAAAAACACAGCCTCTAAAAAATATGTTATGTAATTCAAGCCTATTGTTTTAATAAGCAGTATGTGATTGAAGTAGGTATACATCTGCCTGATTTTTGTTTTATTTTTAAGACAAAAAAATTGCTACACTGAAGACCGACAAAAATTTGTTAGTTGAATGTGATATTAATGCTTGTTTAACATATTATCTGGCTAATTCGCGAAATAGCCAAATGTTAGTAGATATAACCAATCATAATGTATAATTCGCGTTCTAACCGGATAATCTGCGAATATTTTTAAAATATATTTGTTTCTTTAAGCAAGTCCACGGCCACACAGAAAGCATTTTTTTGCGTGTGTTACAACTAAAACAAAATAACAGGGTTATATAGAGTGGCCCCATCAAAACCGTGTAGCATTCGGCGTGTCTCGCAAAAAACGCAAATGAAAACAAATCAGTTTGTTTTCTGTAGCGTCTTTAGCAATTTCTAAGATGAGACCCCATCATAGGGTCATAGGCGGACGGTATATTTAATAATACAATAAAAATGAATTAAATATTATGCATTTTTTTCATTTTAGGGTATTATCTAAAAATATTTTTACAGAGAACATCTACTGTTTAGGAAGATTCTATTAAATTCAAAAATTTGATGGAAATGATTGAAAAAGTGTAGTTTGAAATGTTGAAAAAGTAATAAATTAAAAGAATATTTTCTTACGCGTAAAAAATAGTTTTTATGCGTAAAAAGTGTTTTTTTTGCGTAAAAAAGGTCTTTTAAGAGAGACAAATAGTTTTTGACACGTAAAAAATAGTTTAAGTATAACATAGTTTTTTACACGTAAAAATATATTTTTTAGTAAAAAAGTTTTTTTACCAGAAACAATTTTTTTACACGTATAAAATATTTTTTTTGCGTAAGAAAGGTTTTTTAACAGAAACAATAAGTTTTTGACGCGTAAAAAAATAGCTTTTTACGTGTAACAATTATATTTTTACACGTAACAAATAGTTTTATACGCCTAAAAAGTAGTTTTCGGCCAGTAACAAATAGTTTTATACGCGTAAAAAATTATTTTTTACGTCTAAGTTTTATTCGCGTAAAATTTGTATTAAAATATCAATATTTTGGATAAATACGTGGACTGCGCACAAATACACGTCGCGTCACTACGTCTTTATAAGCCGTTATCACTTTTCGTTACCACTAGTTCGTGTTAGGGCCGTCTCGCTAGCTCGTATGTCACGGCCTTGAATTTTTACTCCCAGCGCGCGTAAATAAGTTTCACTTCAAAAAAACTCATAAATAATGTCCTAAAATTGCGCTAGCAACTAGTTATATTAGTCTATTATATAATTATAATTATTTATTATATTATAATTATAACAAGTAGGTAACCACAAAACTAAAACATAAAAAATCTATACACAAATAAACTAAAATTCGTAGAATAAATGGCAAATAATAATTATTATTTTTACACACTCCACTGGCACTAGCAGTAGTTTGTGTTTGTCGCCGAATATATGCCCCGGCCCGTCCACGATTCAATCCCAGCATATCTTTTATCTTCGTCTCTTCAACGCTAACCGCGCCGATCTCGCCTATCTCTTTCTCATAGGATTGATTGTTGAACGGGCCGGGAATCCATGAGCTTGCGACGTTACTAATTGCTGATCTGCAAATCGCAAAAAACGCTTCAAACGGTAAGATCGCAAAAAGCGCTTGACACGCAAAAAACGCTGTCTGTGTGGCCGTGGGCTTAACCGATTGTGTTGCTTAATTCGCGTTTCAACCGGATAATTCGCGAATTAACTAATTTCGCGTATTACTCGTAACATTGATATGACATTACGACAATAGTCACCAAATGATATTATGATATAGTCACGTCGTGATATTAAAAAATAACATCATAAAGTAATGATAGTTGAAAAAATTGCAAATTGTTGGTGGCAAGTTCATTTCGCTCTAAAAAATTAACCAAGGCATGTGTTGATATGAGTCAAAAAACAAAATGCTTAGGAGACAGGTTTCTGATAGGAAAATAATGTTTTAGGAAAAGTTATTCACGAAATTATTGCACAGGGTGTTTTAAAATTAGGGTAAAAAACAACCCTTGACTTAACCCTGTATAATACGCCAAACACTAAAGTTTATAAAAAACTGATAATAGATATTGAGTGATTTTTAAAATATTTTTTTTGTACATTTAAAGCTTATCAGAAATATAAGACAATATATTGCGGAGTAAATTCAGTAATGAGTAAAATCTAAATGTTGTATTTCTGTTCATTATTTCAAATGAAACACTGTATTTTATGACATAAATGAACATAATTTTTATCTACCTTTATGTTTTGATAAATAATTTTCATATCCAAAATCGATTTTTGTTCAAAATTTTTCATTCTACAGGGTGATTTACGGCGATGGTAGATGGTAGGTTAAGCGTTTATAGAAAACCGGTGATGGTCAAATCTTTCTTATTTTAAATTCAACCCTATATGAATTATAAGTAAAATATTATAAAAAATCAAAGCAATTCGAAAAATTTTGGTTTGGTTACATTATATACCAGAGATATTTGATATGATTATTTTCTCAAATAACTCGAAATCTGTTAGAGATATCGGAAAACGGTTTTCGACAGTCAATTCTACATAAAATGAACTATCTGTGAGCATATTTTAGTTGCGATCTGAGAGATTTCGGTTTTTGACAAAATCGACAGGGAGGTGCCGAGGAATTTTTTCGAAAAATTTTGGAAAATTGATTTTGCTTATTTCGTAATATGTTGTAGCCCTGAATGTGTACTTTACAAAAACGGTATCGTTTTTGAGATTCACACCTTTTGTTCCAGAGATATTTGTTGTTAAAAAAAAGCAATTTGATCCTCTGCGAATTTGAGGTTGGTGATTTTATGCCTATTAATTATTGCTCCCTCTTGTCAATGCTCCAATGCCCTTCGCATGATTTATTCAGTATATATACAGAGTTAAATAAGTGCAAATATTTTCAAGGCTCGATAAAAGGAACATATTTTGCCTTTACCGTTTTTCAAATAACTCCAAAACAACCGAATTATTTTAGTCTGAAAATTAAAAAACAAATGATTTTTTGGTTAAATTTTGAGAACCACTGGATCTTTTTTGAGTTTTCTTTCTTGTAAATTTAATCTACTACTTATGCTACCATATTATCAAGATATTATGTTTCTTAACTTAGAATTAAAAAAAAATTCAAAATTTTTTCGAAAATTCCCAATTTTCAATTTTTTTTTCGCGCAAAAAACTTCATAGACGTATTTCTGGGGACGAAATTTACAACCCCTAAAAATAGTTGCACTTATTTGAGACTCACCCTGTATGTTGAATAATTGAGGAGACAGTATGCACCCCTGCATAACACCACAGGTGGGCTGAAAGTCTTCTGATGGTAATTCTACTTTTGGTATTTATACTGAGAGACTGGATTAATGAAATCAAATGAAGAGGCCCCTTTGTCTAAGAACTATCCATAGTTTTGACCATTCCACTTTGTCAAAACTTTTTCGATAGTCTATGAAAGAAAAATAGAGCGAGCGGATTGTTAAATTCTCAGACTTTTTCGATAATCTGACAGACATTTAACATTTGTTTACGGGTTCCTTCACCTTCGTAAATCCTGCTTGTCCTGGAGTGTACTTGCCCAGCGCATTCATCATATTCAGTAATATAAACGTAATATAATATTTATGATAAATATACAAATCATCCCGTTACAGGAGGAATTTGGGGTTGAATACTTCTTGTTTTCAACAGTTCTTGCATTTGAATTTTAAAAATATTCAATTCGTGATTTCAGCAACACTTATTTAAGATCCTGTATATGTCAATTTTACACGTTTTGCTTTTTGTCTCGAAAACTATTGTAGGTACCTTAGTACAGGGTGTCCCATTTTGGTTGAAATCATACAGTATCTAAAAATATTCTTTTTGTAGAATAACAGACTACGCCACTGTGTTACATTCTACGTAAAAAGTTCTACAATAAACAGTTTTCACTTTCTCGATACCTTTAACAATAACAGAGATACAGGGGGTGTCCCAAATGGCAAAATTTTCAGAGACGCAGTTCGTAAGACCCTGTAGCTCAGAAACGAAGAGGAATATGAAAATTTTGTTTACAGGATCTTTCGTTTGACAAAAAAGTGGCACATGTTTGTGCAAACCGCACCCTACTATCTTCACGAATAACGGAGATACCGTATGATTTCAGTCAAAATGGGACACCCTGTACATATAAAAGAAAACTTATGAGATATGATGAATAATTTCCAAAAATGTAATAACATACCGGGTGTTCCATTTGAAATAACAAACATGCTACCACTTTTCAAAATATGTGGCAACATGTAACGCTGAAAATATTTTAGATATATGGAACAGGTGTCTTATGTAAAAATTCAAAGTTTCAGAAAAATCATCGGTTCTCCATAAACGTCTAACCACCGCACCGACCTAAATGAATGCCATCGTTCCAAGGCCGCAAACTCAACGAGTTTTTAAGTTTTCTTTTTATGTAAATTTCACATGTTGATGTTAATTTTTATTTATAATTATCTATTCTATGATTTGGTAAAGATTAATGTTTGCTGAAGTTAACTGTGTTAATTAGTCGCTCCGTTGTCTAAGTTTCAAAAATTTATAAAAATATTTAACCAAAACGTATGCTGACTTGATTCATCTATAAGGGCAAGCGCAAGTAGGAGAGTATTAACGACATCGCCTTGAACGGCAAATTATTAAAGTTCTTAAGGCTACTGCGAAAGATAAGATTTACACTAATATCTGACGTATGATCCTGCCCGAAGATAATATCATATATTAACCTTAATTAGCTTTATTTTGTGTATACCTACCTAGAACCCTCGTCTCGATAACATTTAGCAATTTGAAAATATCTGTCTAATGCACCTGCCATTAACATTTGTTTGAATTGTTGGGGACTTTGAGTTAATGAATAAAATTTACCTAAAAACCTCGTTGGTACAATAAATTCCTGGGCACCCTAAAATTTCAATTAGTTCCATCTATTACAAGAGCAAATAAATTAATTTTAATATTTCAGATTTAGTAGTTAGTCCAAATATTGGCTCCCGTGTTAGTTTTATAGCTAAGAAGTCGACTCAGTAAACAGAGTACCCAACAAATTTCTTACAGTGTGTAAAAACCTCCTTAACAATAACAAGTCAAGAGTGTCACCATCACGGATCACTGAGCAATCCCCTTCTAACCAATACAGGAGTTAGGCAGGGATGTGTCTTAGCGCCTCTCCTATTCAACATATTCATGGCAGCACTCTCCATTATAGTGGACAGGAAAGAGGAACGGACATTAGATACAGACACGACGGCGCGCGGCGGTCTGTTCAACATAAAAAAACTCAGGGCAAAAACATGTACAAAATTCATCACAGAACTTCAATACTCTGATGACTGTGCTCTAATTGCAAAAACGTTACAGCAATTACAAGAACTGCTGAACACATATACCTGGGCATATAAGGCTTTGGGCCTTAAGCTGAACATCAATAAAACTAAAATCATGGGCACTCACCCACTTGATATTTTGGTTTAAACATAATTTTAATAGAACTGATAGCTGTTTTTCATGTTTTTCCGTTACTTCTGCTGGTTTCATTCCAATTGTTCTATGTTTTTTATTGTTATAAGTGCCCACAATGTTTTTCAAAACATTTAATCATTTGTAGATCTCCTTCATATTGAACACTTTCCACATCATGCCTTTTAACGTTCTATTAACTCGTTCAACGATCGAAGCCTTTTTTCACTATATACCACATAGTGGAAAACTTTATATTTCTGCATTAACTTTTGCACTTCTTTACCAGTAAATTAACCGCCTGAATCAGTACAGATTTTGAAAACATTTTCAAGATTTTCAGCTACTTTTTCTTTTTCTGTATTCCTTTATGTCTACTAAATCAGCTTGCATTAAATCTAATAGATTTTATAATAACTTTTCTACGCTTAAAGTTAACTTTTGTTGGTTTATGAATTTCATTAACAATTTGTCTTTTTGCTTCGCTAGCAAACATTTTATTCAATAATATCCGCTTCTCGTGGTTCTTCAATGATGAAAACAATTTCGTTCCCTGCGATAACCAAATGCGATAAAAATCAGGGTCATCAAAATCGATTCTTTTACTGCCAATTGAAAACTTTTCAATGTATCATATTATTAACTTGAAATTCTCTGCCAGATTTGTCACTGGTTACAACGATCGTTTACAAATTTTTTATACAGGGTTCTAGAGTTTTCTACGATGTTCTCTATGGGTATCTCGGAAACTACTGGAGATAGAGAGTCGGTTAAATGGGGAAAGAATTGCAGTTTTGTGGGGTCAAAAATATGCGTCTTTCAGATTTTTGAAAAAGTTCATGGCTTACTAGATATTGCGAAAAAAAAACAAATTTCGGCTATTTTAAAAATTGTACCTAATTCCATTATAATCTATTTTAGACAAAAAGTGTTCAGATAAAAGTTGTAGATAATCACATCCTTAATGAGATTGTGTACTCCTTTTCTTTCTAAAGCCTGTCATTTTTGACATGACACAAACATATGTTTTTTTAAATGGAAACCATAGTTGGCCATGACTTCATAAAAACCGCATTTTTTTAAGCTTTTCAGCGTTTATAAGCTATATGTTTATTTCGAAAAATTACTGAGTTATAGCCAATTAATATCTTTCTTGACTAATTTCACTTAGTTGGCATGTTATTCTTATTCTCTTATGATTTATAACTTATAAAAAGACAGAATATTTTATTAAACGGTTCTTTACAATTTCCATTACACAAACTAAAACTTAATCTGCCATTATTTTGAGTACATAAATGCATCTTTTTAAAACTGAATTACCTACTAGCTTTTCTCACAGAACGACTGGTTGACTTTATTAATATTTTCCCGTACCGCCTCTTCGAGCGCCTCTCTTAATTTATAAGTTCTTTTGTAAACCTTATTAACCATACCGCATAAAACAAATCTAAAATGGATAGGCCAGGTGATCGAGGAGGCCCATGCAATTCTTCCTATCCCTGAGTTTGCATAATTATGATATAAATAATTTTTAGCATTTCTTTCATTATGGGGGAGGGGTGTCTTAATCAAAATCACTCTATTGATGCGCGAGTCTCTAAATTTAACTTTTCTAACATGTCTTGAAAATCGTTCTCTAAAAAGCGTAAGTAACCACCGGTCAACGTATTCTCGAAAATGTATGGCCAAGAAAAGTTGAACCAATAAACCTACACACTTTTAATGATTTTAAAAATTACAATACATATTTACAATTTTTGTTTATTTTAATTTACAAAGTTTGCATGTGACAGTTTTGACATTTCTGAGGGCAACGACGATTGAACGATTGAAAAAACATAGATTATATCGCTGAGAAGCATAAAAAATGTTGCTTTTTATGTCTTTTTAAGTCATGGCCAACTATGGTTTCCATTTAAAAAAAAACATATGTTTGTGTCATATGTCAAAAATGAGAGGCTTTAGAAAAACACGGAGAACACAATCTCATTAAGGATGTGATTATCTACAACTTTTATCTGAAAACTTTTTGTCTGAAATAGATTATAATGGAATTAGGGACAACTTTTAAAACAACCGAAATTTGTTTATAAGAAACATCTAGTAAGCCATGAACTTTTTTCAAAAATCTAAAAGGCGCATATTTATGACCCTACAAAATTGCAATTCTTTCCCCATTTAACCGACTCTCTATCTCCAGTAATTTCCGATATTCCCATGGAGAACGTCGTAGAAAACTCAATCTGTATATTTAGTGGTAAAGAATGATACTGATTGTCTTATTTAATTCCTTTTCATATTTTTGTTGCTTTCGAATCTCATCTTCGTCCATTTCCTGTTCCACACACTTGACAATTAATTTACGCAAGATGTACGGTTGCTGCTGCACCCTCTCTGAAAAATTTAGTTTTCTCTTCTGTATGCGTGGCACACTTATAGATGCATTTCCTGGTACTACTCCTCTTGAGGTATTTTGTATGGGAGTTGAAGATATAGTAATAATTGGTTCAGAGACTATGGATTTTCCTTCGTCATCATCATCATCAGACACTTCGCTGGAATAATCGTCATTTTCTTGTCTACCAATCTTCCTCTTCTTCGCATTTTCCTGTTTAACATCTACGCGTGCAAATGGAGTCTGTTGCTGTTGTTGTTGATGATGATGCACTAGCCCCGTGGTTGCACTAGGTTCCAATATATTTTCAATTTGTTGTAGATGCTTTGTTATTGGTTGAAATAGATTTTCATGCACTGTTTGTCCATGTTTCAATATAGATATTTAACTTTTTTTAATTTCCCTTCTCTTGTTAATTAACTTTTGCTTAATAGCTTTTCCTTGTGTGGGAGGAGGAGACAGTTTCTAGGCAATGTTTTGTATGAAAATAATGTTTAGTTTTAAATTTGTACGTACGTATATATAACTATCGACACAATATCGATAACGATAACCGCTAAGGAAATCATTGGGATGTTCTAAATGACCTAATCATTGTGTTGGTTTTCCCAGTTGGACGGCCCCGTTATAACATATCTCATAGTTGACGGTAATAAAATACTGTGCTTAACTGGTTCGTCTGTAGTAACATCATGATTCTTCCCCTAGGAGATGCAAGACCTTGTCGTTGGTGGGGAAGCTCCTGGTCAGGTGCCGGGGGGAACCCCCCCTAGCACTTGGCTTGGTCTAAGAAGCATCTCACTCATCGTCTTGTCCCTGACTGTAGTGTCGTGGCCAGGGAATTGCACCAAGACATATAACGATACCGGGCGGGGCTACGGACAGCCTCAACATTGGGGCATTGTATTTTACCCCTTACTTCTACATGCGGGGCTCTGTAGAAGTGGACCGACAGAACACTATGAGATCTGGTAATAATAGTAATAAAAACATCACCGGTGAAGCTGTGGGGAAACCCCCTAGCGACACTGGGAACAGTAACAATGAAAGTTCCAAGGGGCCAAACCCAAAGAGAACTACAGGAGAGGTGGTTGGCACTTGCGTGAGACCATCCTCCGCAAGTCGCATACAAGCTACCACCTCCTCCAAGGGTCGGGAGCCTACCTCCTACCTCTAAACCCAACAGGCGACACAAGCTACCGTTTCGTCTACCCGGCCTGGGTCGTAGCTCCTCGACTGTGAGGGACACGGGTCTCCGTAGGAAGTCCTGGGACTGTATGATGAGTTATAACTCAAGAAAGGGGGACACAATAGATCTCTAAGGTCGCAGAGATTAATCCCCCTCCCACTTATTCTAAATTCTAACATCATGATTATCAACTTTTAACAGTGGCGGCTCGTCAGGGTAGGCGGCGCTTAACCTAAGATTTTGGCAGAATTTAAGCGATTTATTACATTAAATTATTTACTATTAATGTTGCCAATACATAAAAATACTGTTAATACACGGAAGTGTGTTTTAATAATCAATATTATTTTAATATTTGAGGTCTTGTATATTAACGATATTAACAAACATATTCAATATCGCTGGTGTACGCTGACTGTGCCGTTGCGTTAAAAAACAAAATAATTTTGACCGTTGGAGTGCCTTTGTTCGGTGATTTCTACATCGCCTACTATCAAAGTCGATGCACGACGTACGGCAGTCTTCTGTCTCTGGCTAAACCAAACCAAACTCATCGTGCGGTAGCGACGCGACCTAAGTCGGGGTTGTATCATATTAAGGCGGGGCTTAGGTGAAATCTCCGGTCGCCTTCGCATGAAGTCGTGGAGGCTCGGTAGGCTCGGTAGGCTTAGATGTTAAGGGGATATTCCGGATATTTCATAAGGAGATATATCACATTTCGTTAAGGGGATATTTCATATGATTCATTATACGTAGCATTTAAAACTTTTATATGAAAATTCAAAAAAACGTTTAAATCGAATTGGAAACATTTTTCGGGCTTGTCCGAGATTATTAAAAATGACATAACCGGTTCTAT